CTGGTCGACAGGACGGGGATTGCAGGCTTTCGCAAGTTTAGGATGAGGTCGCTGCCATAGGATTGGGAACACAGTTGGAGGATTAGAATTGGGTGTTCTGCTGTAAAATGAGGCTGCAGGTGCAGAACTTGGAATACTGACAGGACTGCAAAACAGGCCAAGGATGGATGGTTTAGTTCTCCATAGTTGCTTACATGGAAACTCAAACAAACACAAGGAGGTTCTGCTTGCAAGTCGCGTCCCATAGCAAACCAAACTCAAACACAAGGAAGTTCTGCTTGCAAGTTGCGTCCCATAGCAAACCAAACTCAAACACAAGGAAGTTCTGCTTGCAAGTCGCGTCCCATAGCAAACCAAACACAAACACAAGGAAGTCCTGCTTGCAAGTCGCGTCCCATTGCTAACCAAACTCAAACACAAGGAAGTTCTGATTACAAGTCGCGTCCCATAGCTAACCAAACTCAAACACAAGGAAGTCCTGCTTGCAAGTCGCTTCCCATAGCTAACCAAACTCAAACACAAGGAAGTCCTGCTTATAAGTCGCGTCCCATAGCTAACCAAACTCAAACACAAGGAAGTCCTGCTTGCAAGTCGCGTCCCATAGCAAACCAAACTCAAACACAAGGAAGTTCTGCTTATAAGTCGCGTCCCATAGCTAACCAAACTCAAACACAAGGAAGTCCTGCTCCGGCATCGGCCGACTGCCCGATGGGGTCCATCCCAAGCGTTTCCACGATGACTTCGGCCATGTCCCTGGCGAAGCCCAACCCCGTCAATTTTGCCAGCTTTTGACGCTTCTGCAGAAGGTTAACACCATTAGGAATAGAACAGGCATGGAACGCGACTTGGTGTAAATGTGAGAAACGTGCACCATTGGTGCCAGTTCTTCAGTCAGACGCAGTCCAACCCCGTTCTTACCTTGTCCGGCCCATGCACATCCACACCCAGGGCACCATCGGATGCCATTCTGGAAGAGATAACAAACGGTCGTCGGGCTATTACTAGCTTGCGCTTAAGCGCAAGGAGATGGGCGTCTTCCAAGACGAAGTTTGGGACACGGGACACCTTGAATAAGACCCGAACGTAATCTGTATGCAATCTGCAGACCCTACTGGGGGACAAGTCCGCAGGAGGCGTATCAACATGCAAGACGTTATCAACAGCAAGCCGGTTTGGGGGTCCAAGTACAGCCTGTCACGCTGACTAGTTGGACAAGGCTGTATACTCTTCTGCGTGAAGGCATAATGACTTCACCAGGAGAGCAGCAAGAATGAAGTCGCCACTGCGACCCAGTTGTACGACAGCACCACAGAACCAGCCTTAGAAGATCCGGTCGCTTCGCTCCGTCGCATCTAAGCCAACAAAACGTTATCAACAGCAAGCCGCTTTGGGGGTCCTGGCTCAAAGTGAGGCCCACCCTGGAGTTAGTTGTTAAGCTTTCATGTTACTTCCTCATACAAACTGCTTCTCTAGTACTGTGATGTTTTATTGGTTATATTCATGCAAACTGAGCT